TTAAAGGAATATAGTACAATAGGCGGCCTTATCGCTAGAGAGCGATCTATTCTAGGCAACCTTTGGGTAGAGAGAAAGAAGAGAGAAGGAAGGGGTGCAAACAATCTTAAAGAGAGATACAATAAATACATACATATACAAACAGATATATACATATATACCATATATATACATACATACATACATACATACATACACACATACATACATACATACATACATACATAAATACACACATATATACATTATACATATAAAATAAAATATGACACCATTTAGCACTTATAAGTTAAGATAATATTCATTTATTAATTTTTTAAATAGTGACAGCGAATCAGCCTGTTTTACTTTATTTGGTAACGAGTTCCACAGACGGACAGATTGGACAGTAAAGGAGCGAGTATAGAAGGAAGAAGAGTGTGAAGGAACTTGTAAAGTTAGATTAAGGTTAGAACGAAGAGAAAAATGGTGAGAATCACTTAATAATTTAAACCTATCTTTAAGATACTGAGGTGTACAGGGATTAAATAGAATATTATATAAAAGACAAAGAACGTGAGTATTTCTGCGAAGACGGATAGGGAGCCACTTGAGCTTTTTACGAAATTCGGAAACGTGGTCATATTTACGAAGTCCAAATATGAACCGAATGCAGAGATTTTGAATTCGCTCAAGTTTATTTAACGGTTCCTCTCTTAAATCGAGGTAACAAGTATCAGCATAGTCAAGAATTGGTAATAAAAGAGTGTTAGCCAAGGCAATTTTAGTGGGAATGGGTAGAAAGTTACGTAAGCGACGTAATGATGCAACGGCAGCAAACATTTTTCTGCTCACTTCGCCCACCTGTGACTTCCAAGATAATGTCTCGTCCAATATAATACCTAGATTTCTCACTTTATCGCTGTATGGAATTTGTATACCGTCAAGCATAATAGGTGGTAATTGTGATAAAGATATTTTTGATTTTAATTTTGAACTACCTATAATTATAGCTTGTGTTTTACCTGGATTCACTATTAAGCCTAATGATTTACTTTTTTGCGAAATATTAAGTAGGTCAGTATTAATATGATCGATGGTTTGAGTTAAGTTTAATACGGTCGTTTGACGGTAGATTTGTAGATCATCTGCATAGAGGTGGTAGGGAGAAGAAATATAGTTACAGAGAGAGTTAATAAATATAGAAAATAAAAGAGGAGACAATACGCCACCTTGAGGAACACCGGCATGTAGCGAAATCCATTCAGAGCAAGAATCGTGAATACGGATTCGTTGCCGGCGACCATACAAGTAATTGTGAAACCAGTCAATCACATCTGGAGATATGTTAAGAGAACACAATGTAGCAAGAAGAATATCAAAATCAACAGTGTTAAAAGCGTTACTAAAATCTAATAGTGTCAAAACTGTGACTTGTTGATTTTCCATTCCTAGTCTGATGTCATCTGTTATTTTAACGAGTGCAGTAGTCGTGCTGTGACCATAACGAAAGCCGGATTGCATAGGATTCAGTAGATTATGATTTGAAAGGAAATTACTTAGCTGATGATGTACAAGGCGCTCGAGCACTTTGGATAAAAAGGGTAGAATGGAAATAGGACGATAGTCGGAGAAAGTAGTGGGATTGTTTTTTTTTTGGTAAAGGTATTACTTGAGCATCTTTCCATGCGGATGGAAAACAGCCAGTATTAATAGAAAAATTAAGCATGGAAGTTATGACAGGGATCAATATATCTAATAAAGGAACGATCATTTTACGACTAATGCAGTCAGAGCCAACCGCATCAGAGTTAATTGCCACTATGTGTTTCCGAACATCACATTCTGTAAATTGACTAAATTTAAAAATGGGAGAATCAGGAGTGGCCAAAGCGAGAATTTGATTTTTAGTTCTTAATTTAGTTGTACTATCAATTGTACTGAACGATGAGAAATGTTTGTTTAATTGATTTAGATCTATATTTTTGGAGGTTATATTTTGTTTTGCCTTTCCAACTCCAAGAGATTTAAGAAAGTTCCAGACTTTTACTGTATTGTCTTCTTCGACAACAGATTTATGAATATGGTGTCGTTGACTATCCCTACACACCCTATTGCAATGATTTCTAGCTTTAACATATTTTTGCCGATTGATATCACTTGCATTAGTTTTTAATTTAGCTTTAGCAATGTTTTTCTTTTCTTGAAGCTTTTTAATGTCTACAGTAAGCCAGGGTGCAGGAAGATATTTAGTACGTACAGGTCTAATAGGCGCATGAATATCATATAATTGTGTCAATAGCGAATTAAATGTATCAATCTGGTTGTCCATAGTCTCTGCATTTAAAACCTCAGTCCAATCAATATTTAAAGCATCTTCGCGCAAACGATCTAGGTCCATTCCCGCAAAATTACGTTGGAGAAGGATTCTTGATTTTGCTTTAGGAGGTTTAAGTTTATAAGAGAGAAAAATAAGATCGTGGTAAGAGAATGCAGTAGCATTGCATTGACCATGTTTATCAACGTGGTCAATGGAAGAAACTAAAATTAAATCTAAAAGGGATGGATTGCAATTAGGGAAAAAGTGAGTCGCAGTTAAAGGAAGTACATGGAAGTTGGCTGATTCTATTAGTGCTTTAAGTCGTGCTGATCGATGATCATTTTTAAGCATACATGTATTAAGATCACCCATGATAACAGTATGGCTGTACAATGGAGTTAATTCCTCCAATAGGACCTCAAGTGACTCGAAATAATCTATAGTTAACGATGGACTGTAATAGACGCCAAGTAGGATTTTAGTGTGAGATAGGATGACTTCAAGAAAAAGATACTCCGGGCCAGTATTATTGGTAAGGTGCGATTGTTTCACAATGTTATAGGATATGTGAGAGCGTAAATAAACGGCAACACCACCGCCAGTCCGACCCGTGCGATCATTTCGAATCAATTGAAATCCTGGTAAAGAGTATGCAGTAGACGGAAGACAAGGTTTAAACCAGGTTTCCGATACTAAGATGGCATGAACATTGACATTTTCAAAAGTTGATAAGAAATCAGGATAATGTGCAGGAATACTCTGAGCATTGATGTGAACGACGTTAAAATTCTTCTGGACTGTAGGGAAATAAGAAATAAGAGACTCATTCAAAGATGGGATACTGTGGAAGCTATTATCGCTACTTTGGTCGTTGAAAGAAGATACGGAAAGATCAGTGTCATCATAAATATTGTTAAACATTTAATAAAAAAAAATGTGTGTATATAAAAAGTATTAAGTAATAAAATAAATAACAAATACAATAAAAAATAAAATAATAATAACAAATAGATATATATACGTAAGTATTTAAGACAATATATATATTAAAAAAAAATAAAAAAAAAAATTATCATCACCCACCTGCCAGTTGCATAAAAGTATTTGTATATAATTTATCGCTAAACTATATTTATATTTAGTAAACAAAATGAGCACAATAAAACAAAAAGTTATCATTATAAATACCTAAGTTAAGTAAGTACAATAATTAACATACTAATTTTACCCAATAAGTACACAAAATATTATAACAAATTAAAAAAAAAAACCGTATTTATCCTTTACCTTGAGCAAAAAGCCACGCATCAAACTAACATTTAACGTTGCATACAATAATTTAATCTGTAGACTATTTATACAATAGATTATCTGCAAATGTAATCAGTCATGGGTAAAATATATGGTCTTATTATAATAATTTAGAAGTAATTATGTTTTAAATGAAAAAAAAAGAAACAGTATTAAACAATTTAAATTTTAAAGAAAAGGCTTTCTACTTCTTCACAATTCTTTTGGATCGCGGCGCAAGTACTTTTTCACCTGGCTTGTTGACTGTAACAACAACAGCTTGTGAAGGAGACTTAGATGTTGTTATAGTGTCTAACTCAGTCAAGCACTCAACTCGATGGCGAGATCCATTTGGAGCTATAATATTGACACATCCATCCCACGTCCAGCACTTACCGATGCCAAAGCGCTGCCGTGCCTCCATAAATAGTGTATGTCGTGATTTGGTTAAAAACTCCGATTGTGTGACACCTGTTCCTTTTAATTTAGTTTTTAAAAACCAAACCTTATCACGAACTGCAGCATCCATGAATTTGATGACTACGGGTCTAGGTCTCTTATCTGTTGGTCGACCTAGACGGTACAGTGACTTAATGCTCGTACTAGAGAAATTCGGTAAATCCAAATGCCGAGAAACTAGTTCGGTGACTTTTAATAAAATGTCTTCCGACTTCTCTTCAGTGATGCCATGGAAAAATAACGTTTTACGTCTCCTACGCATTTCTTGACGATCAATCTCGAGACTAAGTAATTCGACTTGTCGTTGCAAGGTGTTGAGTGCTGATAGAATGAAGCTTTTAAAAGTATTGAAATCAGCTGCCAAGGAAGTCGTAGTCACTGGAGTGGTGTTTTTATGGAGTTCTTGCTGGAATTCACTCATCTTAACATTAAACATCTCAGTCATTGCAGAAAGAGATTCCTTGATGGTTTCCATGCTCATTGTTTACTTAATTAATGTTGAAATGTGAACGAATCAAAGGAGTTCAACTTGCTGGCGGGTAAGAAAGTTTAGTCAAACATATGGTTTGTAAAAAACACCAATAAAAATATTTTTAACTATTTTTAAATAAAATTTTTGCTGAGGGATAAAAAATCGCTGTTTACTTTTCACCTCCTACCCACGAAAAAAAAGAATAGAATTTAAGCTTGCACTAAATTTCCGATCCATTTTTTTTATTTTATAAGGTTTAGGTTAGGTTAGTGATCCACTTACTGAGTAAAAAATCACAAAATGCTGACAGATTCCAGTGGAGCTTCAGGCGCCATCTTGAAAAAACTTCTTTGGCCGAAATCTCGGAAACTATGCACTTTAGGGCAAAAGTTATTGAAACTCAATCCTCAATTAATTCTTCATTCTCGTGTTCAAAATCGTCAATATCTAACGACTTCTCGTTGAAGTGTGAAGTGAACGATGTTCACTGTCGGCTGGTTTGTGCATGTTTCCGCCGTGCAATTCGCACAAATTACAGTGCAGTCCAAGCCCGCTTTTCGGCACATGCTCTTCCACAGCCAGTTCGGCATAGAAAAGACCGTTGTTGGGCTTTCGCATCACCCGCCGTGTCGGCATTTCTACATTGAACGTCCTATAGTTCAAAAACTATGGACATTAGAAAAAAAGAACTTTCGAATCCTCAGTCTTAAAGAAAGTGAGTGTAGTTTGTTCTTGAAAAAGCTACCACCGACTGAGAGAGAGAGAGAGAGAGAGAGAGAGAAGATAAAGATAACAGAAACTAGAATAATAATACGACGACTTATAATGTATTGAAATACGAGTTTCTGCCTAAACTATTTGGACGACACGCTTGGCTCAGATTGTAGTGTACTTGCTGTGCAAGCGGTTGCGGGTTCGAGTAACGCTAGAGGAATTCATTTGTGTGATGAGCACGAATGCTTGTACTCCACTCATGGGTGTGTCTATTTATAATATGTATGTATTTGAAGTGTAGTGAATGTGTAGTGTGTCAACTATCTGGTATCTATAACACTTGCCTCGTAGCTTACCATGGAACTAGATGGTACTGTGTGTTAATGTGCCAACATATGTATTATTACTATAGATAGTACATTCACCTATTTATATTAACGTTAGAAAAGTAATAAAGAAATGGTAGTGTCGAAAAGGTCATACTACGCTCTATGAATGTAGTTTTCCAACTGAAATCGATATGGAATCTTATTTGATTTCTCACTCGGCCTGGTGCCAAGATAAGCTGTAGACTTCCTTACATTATATGTATAGTTGCTTGTGCTGCGACTTTGTACGTCTGTCTTGGTGTATTGGTGCCCAAATAATTTGGTCTAAAGCTGATTTTTGATGTTCAAATGATTGAAAAGCACTATAAAATTTTTTACTTATTACGTAGGTACCTGTCTTATATATCAATTTATACAAATATTGTACATTTTAAATTAACTTTGTGTAAAAATTACGCTCAATCTGCTGAACATGTTTCAATACTTGGCAAAGATAAAGATATAGGACGGCCACCTTTAATCCCGTCACCCATGCGAATGAACCGCGGCCAAACACTAGTATATATATAAAAGTATATATATTTAATAATAATTAATAATGATCAACGAACAAACTTCACTTTTTATTTTAATTTATTATACGTAGAGATTCAGTTTCGCCTGACAAGCATTTCTTGCTATTCTATAACATTGACCTAAGCGTGTAACTTGAGAGGTGACCGACTCTATATGATCTCACGTTGTTTGACTTATTGCTTTTGTTAGTGTCTCTTTTATTATGTTATATACACATTTTTCAAATATGAATTTATTATAATATTTATATATATTTTTGTTATAAAACAAATTACATTTATTTTATTTAAAGAAAAATGTCAAAAGAAATTTATCTAAGCGAAATGCCACTCACTGTATGACAAATATTTATAAAGTTTAAATGATTCAAACTAGAAATACTTGTAAATCTATCTATAAATCTATAGGTAGGTATCTGCTAAGAGCTTTCTATTTCTTTCTTTATTTATTTTTAGGAGACAGGGTATTTACCTCATGTTAATTTTTTACACGACAGCGGCGAAGCCCAAATAAAATAATATTATGTAAATAATCGAGTGTTACAGCCCAAAAGTCTGATTATACTTTTACACAATAACACCATAAAGCAAGTTTTACGTTTAAATAAATTTTTTTCATTACTAAATTCTGGTTCTGATCTTTCATTACTTTTCTATATACATAAATACAATTGAAGTATCTGTTTGTAATGTCAAAATAATAGCTTTTTACTAAATACATACTAAATACATACAAAGTATATACACGGTACTTATAAGAAAAACACAATTTTTAGAATTTTTGTCTGACCGTCTGTTTATTCCGGCTAATCTCCGAAACGGCTGGCCCGATTTTGATGAGACGTTCACTGGAAGATAGCTGATGTTATAAGGAGAAACTTATGTTATTTTATTTAAAAAAAGAATTAAGATTCCGCGCGAAAAAATGTGTATGTGACATGAAATTGTGAAGAAAATCGGCGTACCTAGGGACGCGTCCGAGCGAAGCGAGGGTAAATTGCTAGTTTATAATATAGCTGATGAATATTTCAAAATATTTCCAATAAATATCAAATGTAAGAGAGATTCATATCTAACAAATAATATATGTAAAAATGAAAATGTGAAAGCAATAACTTCAGTCAAAATATTCATAACACGCTTTAAGCAATCGGTTGCGGCAATAGATTCTACAGATGCACCGATCTCTTGGAGCGGGAGCCATAATACCAAATTCAAAAGCGAAATAGTATTTAGAATACGGAGATCAGTTTCGGATATTTGCATAAAATTTTCAGTTCCAATATTGGTATTAAATATGCCATCTGGTGTAGTGGTTACATGTACCCATGTGTTTTATATACAGATTTGCTGAGTTTATATTGTCAATCCTTTTTGAACTGAGGTTTTTTCTTTCCGAACTAAACTTAGACTCGTGGCGTGTGATAAAAATTGTAATAATATAACGATGAATAAAATATTTTTAATTCTATTTTTGTATATAGCATATACAAAAATAAATCAAGCAGACAAATACGTTATAGTATTTGTTTTTTTTCATATAATTTCTTATATATTAATATAAGAAAGTATAAATAAAAACTTAGTTTTCGTACATAGTCTACATATTGGTTTCTGGAAACAATAACATTATACGTACATAGAACCTTTTCCTTTGAAAGTCGCTACTACTACGTGGATCAGCACCTTATAACAAGTATATAATAACCTTTGAGACGTCTAAAACCTTAGTCTCTTCCGTGACCATGATTGCTGTAAAGCATTCGAAACGTCGGCAACCAAAAATCAAAATAAATCTGTGACAAAATTTAAAACTACAGTTTGATATGAATAAAATAGTTAATTCTTTTTATTATTAGAAATAGACTTAAATTGAATTGGATAATTTTTATTTGATAAATAAACTGCCTCTAAAGACGGCTATTTTAATCAAAATTCAGGAAAAACCGCAGTTTAACATTGGTCGTAACCATAGTGGATCACGTGTGTAATTTACTTTGCACCCTTGTCTTCGTCACATGGATTATGGCGAGTGACGAATTGATCTCTGTCGTACTACGAGTACATGACTTTATGTCACGTTATATTTTTATCGTTATTACTTTGACATATTTTTATCGTAAATAGTCCTACTACGATTTTTGTCGATATGTCCTTTGTCGATAATACAAAATATTTGTAAAATTATTAGGTATTTCATACATATTTGTATTGTCTTCTTTTTACAATAAAAAGGGTTTGTAAGGAACATAGATGCCGTAGAGATAGCATTTCATATTTAACTTTTTTATACTTATTCCTGGTGTTATTTTAAACGCAAAAGTTTGTGAGGATGGATAGTTGGATGGATGCTTATAACTCTTTCATGCAAAAATTACTAAACGGATTTTGATAAAACTTTACAGTAATATAGATTATACATCAGTATATTACATACCCGTACATAATGAAACTACGAACTACTTAACTTAATACAGTAATGTGCACACACACAGTACATATACATAGGTATAGTACACACAGTTACAGGAAAGAGTAGATCCTTTTAGGTATCATTTTATGTTTATTGAATTTTTAATTAGTTCACTTTTGCCTTTAAAATTGCATTATAAGTGCAGGTATTAAATGCAAATAACATTAGCGTTGTACGACAATCGAACCCGCTATCAATAACGTACTAGACAGTGTCAGTGAGATAAAAATTCTTTTTAATATTCGATATAATTGTATATTATACATATGTAAAAGCCTTTTACCACTTCATTGATTAATCACGAAATCTAAGAAAGTATAAATGGCAGGTATAATTCTCATAGGGGTAGGTGTTTGCTAAGAAAGAGTTTTGTAAATTCAACCTTTATGATATAGAATCTACAATTGGAAAGAATATGTCTACATAAAAATGATAGTATTTTTATTCAAATTTTTACATGTTCTGGGGATGAAAAGTAGTGGATGATAATACCCATGTAGTTGAAAATTAAAAAATAAGAACCATGAAAATACTCGTATATATTGAGACTATATGAGGTAAAAAAAGGTTCTTCTCAAATATAAATACATTTATAAGTAATTATCTTATATCTTTTACTCGCCATCGATACACTATGACGTAATTACGTTAGCTACTGTAGTAAAGTATTGAATATATTGCATTTCATAGTAAGGTTGCTGTATTATTGAAACAGCTGACGGTTTTAGGCAATTTGGGTTAGCAAAATATAATGTTAGCATATTGATCTCAGTGTGGGTAAAACGTTTTTGTCATTTGCTTAAAAGGGAAAGGAATTTTCAATATTAACAGCACTCTGGCTTTGTGGTAACAAGACGTTAGACAAAAATATTGCGGGTTCATTTCCCCATTTATATACATTTTACGTATTTTTTAGTTTAGGTTGTTTTTTTTTACATACATTTCACTGACTGGTTTGAAGACGAGGTTAGACTGTCGCTTGTATAGAAATAAAAGGAAATGATATACAATAGACTAAAATTATAAATTTATATATAACGAGACTTACCATCTCTTCAGTCAGGCACGTCCTAGGTGCTTAACAGGAGCCTAAGTATTGTTCCGGAGTTCATCCGGTAAATCATAGGCGCGAACACCGAATTTGAACTCTAATCACTTGCTCTTAAGAGCGAGCGCGTTACCTATTGGCCACCACTGCTTCGTACTATTCATTTGCTTAAACATAATCATAATTAACTTAGTCGCATAAATAAAGGGCAGTATTAAGGTCAACGCTCACGTCCGAAACGGACATGTAATGTAAATTTAGGCACTAACATAAATTATACGCCGGGCTTTCCTCAACAGGACGTCAAGTGAATTCGCTTTGAATTAGGGGATGAATAAATCTTTAGGGTAGGAAAATAGAATGATATACGAGTGCACATTGCTTCCCCATACACGATGGGAAACGTTTTGTGGAACGACCTAAAGCTCTATATCTAAAGGAAAATGCAGTGTGATATACATTTGTACGGCAGTAAAAGATTGTGAGAGACTTCTATTTTTAACGTCCTTATAACTGAATAAAATATTAGGGTGGAGAGAAAAATTTTTTTTCTTAGGTTAGGGGTAGAATTTGAGGGGCCACCTCAAAATGTTGAGTAAAATATTTTTTTTCTTATTAAATAAAACTATCTTTTCGGATTATTTCGCGGATTTATTTTGATTTTTGGTTCCCGACGTTTCGAATGCTTTACA